CATTGAGCGAGAAAAGATTTATGTGTGCTGCCCTGCCTTCATGTTTCATGATATATACTATGAATATGTATGTATATATATAATATTGAAATGCACATAATAATAACAATGACAATATATGTCGGTAATTATGAATGAACATCTAGCATCATCAAGTGGGTGTTCCGACCTCACCATTGACGACACCAGATCGTGATTCAGCCTCCCATGCAGCAGTTTTTTGGGCTGCAGTCTGCATTTATGGTCCGACACTGCTTCTTCCAACTGTTTAAACATGCCAGCCGGAGAAGAGGTCGACCACGGCGAACCCATGGCGAACAAACGGCGAACGCACCCCACGGCAGAACGTGCTCGCAGCCACCTGGAAAAATGTCTCGCTCGCAGAGAAAGGCTTGCAGTTCAGGGCCCCCCCGTCCAGGTTTCCGGGTCGTACTCTTTCAGGAACCATGACCACTGTGAAGCACAGGGGGTTTTCAGGAACCATGACCACTGGCAGAGTAAAGTATATATATATATATAGTTGTGTGTGTGTTTCTTGGCCACTCAGTGCATCCAATGAGTGAATGACTGGAACGGAGGGTTTTGCGTCAGTGTTTGCCATATTTTGCCATTTGGGCTGATGGGTGTTTTGTTGAGGTCAACTTCGGCCTTAGATCGATCCTCACAGTTCTCAAGTCTCCCATCTCTCCCAGGTACTGAGCACCATCTGTTGGAGCTTCCCCTCCCACACCTGAAAACCACTACTGTAGGTGTCGAGGAACCGGGTCAATTCTCAAGGTCCCTAGGTAGAACCCTGGATCTGCTGGATTTGGCGTACTCCGGTTGCCCTTTGCTGGACCCGGAGAGGAGTGAACTGGACGGATCTGTTTGGCATCCTCATGATCCCGGATCCGTTTGGTCCGGAAGATCCCGGAGTCTCCCAAGCCAAATTACAGGAGGGGAACATCTGGGGCGATCCCTGGGGCTTCCCCTCCTGCAGATTATGTTTGTTAAGCGTGGTGCAAAATTACAGATCAAACATAGATCAACATAGTACTGTAGATGTCAGATCCCACGTCCACCGGCCGTCTGGACGGAAAAAACCGTTCCAGGACGAGGAAGCGATGGACCGTGTGATGTGGACTCCAGTGGTGGCTTGGACTCGTGAAAGAGGCTGAGAAGCTGTTCATACCATTGGCAGAACAGTCCCACATGAACACCCAGAAGAGTAGGTATCATTTGGAGGCAATGCAAAGGTATCTGTCCAGTCCCATGGAGATTGATGGGGTGTTAGATATATATATATATATAGTTTAGGAATCCATGTTTTGCGGACTTCATGAACCGATGGGTCCACATTAAAACAAGACTCATTCACGAGCCATGGCCAGGAAACATCAGTGAACATATGAACATCCATCCCCAACAGGGACTGAAAATTCACTCTTGTACTTACACGTACTATGCTTATACTATGCTTCTCATTGCTGTAACCCTGTGTCTCAGCGCCGATCACGGCGTCGTGGGACCAAATTCCAATTCCAACCTCTTCCCAGAAATACGACTCCTTCACCCTGAGAATGTCCATTTCTTCATCGATCCTATGCCCCGACAAAAACGGTGGACAGATGGATCCTCCGCCTCGGCGGATGGCTTCGGCGAATGGATTCGGCAGCGACGCAGGTGGGTTCCTCTGCTCAGCAGGCGATCTCCGCCTTGCGCAGCTCGGCCGATCACGGCGGGAGGGCAGATGGAGGGCAGACGGAAGGCGGCGTTGGATCTGAGGATGTTCCTTGGGTGACTTCTCCATCAACTTGGGTGACTTCATAGACATAATCACTGTACAAACAACACATAGTTTTTTTGGTGGAACAGAATGGACCTGAATACCCTTACAGTGCATGGGATTGAAGGATGTCAGTTAGGATTCTTGGTATGGTTTCTTCACGTTCTTCACTTTAAACATGGCTGGGACTGGGACATCAGCCACTTACGAAAACGCGCATCATCCACAAAAACCACCCCTCGTCGACGCATGGGGTTTCTCATGCAAATCACGACGTCTTTGCAGATCGGAGTTACTTTCCGAACTCATCGCAGAAGTTCTGAACCCTGACCCCTAAAACCAAAGACCATGAAATTCCTCAGGCCACTGGGTTGCGGCTTCCACCGCAGAATTCTTCAGGTCCGAAGCCACTAACGTGAGGATTTTAAGGATTGTAACCAGAACTGAGCTAAGTGGCCTACATGTATCCTCGATTCAGTTCTGATGTCTGACCAAACCAGAAGGCTTTGGAAGGCTCCTGTCAGACTTTCAGCATGCAATCTCAGAGCTTAGACCCTCACCGGTGTTCTCTCGTTCTGGCGCACCTCACATCCCAACCACATCTCATATCCCAACTGTTGGAGTGAAAAGGATAATCATTCTTCCACCGAAACCGACACCGCACCGTTGGCCCTCCTCTCCTCCCTCAGATGCCCCTCCTCGACACCAAGTCTCCCGCGATCCGATGCCTTTGGTGGGTCCAGGTGATGCCTTTGGCGTGCTTGGTGTTTGGCCCGCGGCCTGGCTGGCGGCGCAACGGGTGCGGAGCTTTCTCCGCGGTGTCCGGGATGTGTTTGGGCAGGAGGTGTTTGGGCAGGATGAAGGACCGAGCTAAGCCCAGTCCAAAGCACTGGAATGGGTGTTTTCAACTAGCAGACATCTTTTTTTCCAAATGGGGTCAGATCGTCAGATCATATCTGATAGCGAAGAAGGGGAGGTTCTAGGCCCAAGACATCCTAAGATTACATCATGCCGTGCAGACCTTTCCAGGTCTTTTTCACAGACAGGAACTGGGCACCCTTCGGTTTAGCTTGCATGGCCAAGAAAGTTAGGGGATGACTCTTCGGACCATAAGTTGGGTGTATCACACCAGGCCGTTCTCTTCTGTACTCGCTGCGGGTCATGACACCGGGGAACCCTGCGAACCACCACGGTTTCAATGAACAGAGCGTCGACTACCCGAGAGGTGAACCTACCCGGTTTTCGGACTCCGGGCTTTGAGCCACAGCCTACTTCAGGATGTGTTATCCAGCTAGTGAAGCCCTTGGAAGCCCAGGCCGTACAGGTGTTTTTTGACGTGCGCTTCGCAGATGCAATTCTGGCCATCATAATATGGCCGGGAATATATATCTACTGAACCCATAGGATCGCACGCGTCGATTCATTCACCGTCTTAGACGAGTTCGTCGTCGTTGCAGCTTTGCTTTCCAGCTCGATCAGCACGCCAGGTGATGCGGATCTGCCAGAGGTGGGGCGGAAATCAACGCCTTCTGCCGACTCGCTTCTTTTCGAAGTGCAGGAACCGGAACTCAAGCTCCGGTGGCTCTCAGTACGTGGCTCCTCGCTTTTGGTTTGGGCTCCTCAAGTGTTGGTGAATCCATATGAATCCAAAGAAGAGCACAGTCTGATGTCCTCCAATAGCGGATCCTGATGTGAGAGAGGATGGCCTCGACCATTTTTCTCCGAAAGATCACGGTCTGACATCGTGGATTCGACTTTGGGTCCGACGTCGAGATGCACTGCACCACAGACGTTTGTATTCGAAGCCCAAAGTCCCAAAGCATTCCAAAACCATCTGTCATTTGACTCAATGAATTCATGACGCATGACCCGGACCCAAAGCAGATCTACACCTCTTTTGAGCCACCATCCAGGCTTGTTGGAGTTTTGCTCACGTTCCTCGCCCGCCCAAGCTGTGAGCCGAACACCACGGCCGACTGCGCGCAGTGACCCGCGGCAGGGGCGGACCCGGACGACCCCTTCGCATGTTAGCTCCTCGGAAGCGGAACCGCAGAACCGACCGGGTGCGGAGGTGCTTGGTGTTGCGGCCGCGTTTGGTTGTGGTCCATGGGGAGGGGGAGATGCACCGTGCGCATGGAAATGGAAATGGGGGGAGGAGCCTTACTGGACCTGTTGGGAGGTATGCACTTGGCTCAGACAGCAGCTCTGGTTCGGTGATTTGTAGCTGCCATAAACATGATTAAACATGAGCGATTTCTCTCTCAAGAGATGGGTGCATCGTCGTTTTCAATCAGATTTTTGTTTGGGAAAAACACGAGTCGGATGCCAAATTTTTCGTTGTTCATCGTGTCAGTCAAACATCGTTTTGACTCTGGGGCTTGAAATTGTGTTTTCATGTGTTTTCATCATGGAAAAGAACCATAAAACTCGCAAGGAAATCTCTTATAATATCTTATAATTACCGAAGCTCTGATTTTACCAGTATTTATGTATTAAATGTAAACATACTAACCAGTGTTTAAGACCAAACGACAAGCCCCAGCAAGAGAGCTGGTTAGCTCGTCTGCATGTTTTAAGACGATGTGCCCGGGGGTGATGGGTCCACTCATGCGGTCGGACGAAGAATAAAGGATACAGACGGATCCGCACCTGTAGACCTGGTGAAATGTTGAGACACTACCAGCAAGCACGCCATACCATAACCATGAATGAGTATCTGGTCGCTGAACACTTCTGAGGAACTGGGCTGTGGTTCTGGGCTACCCTCCTTGTGCGCCTTAGCCTTAGGCGCGGGGTGGGAGAGTTACAGTTGCCCTAGTTTCCTCCGTTTTGCGGATCCGCATGCCATCTGAGTTTGGGACACCAGTAGATGGAGAGCGCAGTCCTGGTGATAGGTGAGTCGTTGGAGTCTGGAGTGCCACTTGGACGAAGCCAAATGCGCCATGCTGCACCGCGCGACCAGAGAAGAAGCATGACAGTCGGTGAGAACAGGTGAGGACTCCATATCATCTCGCTGCAAGGGGCTGGGACGTGCAGCGGTTTGGGGAGTTTTGGGCATCATCTACTAGGCGCATCAAACACGTGGATCCTTCTGCCTTCCCACACGAGTTGACCATCTTAGTCGTCCTTTGGAGCTGCCTGGAGTACGACCGTGCAGACACATTGGAACCATCGACATCGAAAGTGTCATGTCACTGGTGTCGACCGCCAGGTGTCGACCGGTCCTAGACGCGCCAGGTGTCGAGGTCGTCGCGACCGACTTAGAAGAGCTGCCGTTGCTCTTGCTGAAGGCACCCAGAGATCTCGGCTGCCATGGCTCTTTCGTGGAAGGTTTTGAACTATACTATTTACTGTATATAGATCTATATAGTGATAAAGACTGAGCTCCTGTCTCCTGTCAGAAGCTGGCATAGTCGTGACTCTGGGGTGTGCGAGCCTAGCGTGCAGGTGGGCTGAGTTTGTGCTTTGAAAACACCACGAACTCGTTCGGCCTGGGCCAACCCGGAGGCCGCCTACGACGCCCAAGAGCTTCCGGGCCACTTAGAGGTTCAACAGGCCCACGCCTGAGCGGAGATTCGCCACGTGGCGCGGTGGGTCTTGTATCACCCCCTGAGATCAGCAGCGGTTTGGGTGACTAGAATACTAGGTGATGGTTTCGGATACTTCTATTTTCAACCCTTACTTGGGGATGATGGGACCCTTTGACTAATATTTTTCAAGTTGGTTGAAAACACCAAGCAGAATAGTTTAGTATATGTTTGTTGAAGAGACTGTATTAAAGTACCAGGTCTTTGCAGATCTCGGAACCTTTGTGGGGCTTGTTGAAAATGATTAGTGAATGATTGGTTGCTGCCTGGTTGGTTGATTGGGTAGCGGGGACTGATGTCACTCCAGAATCCATGCTGTTCGTCATGATTTGTTCCAGCAATGTTTCTTCCCCACATTTGCCCGTCCATAGGATGGAATGCTATGTGGGGCTGGACTCAAGATTGTTCGGAACTGTGTAGATTTGTTCGCTCTTCAGCAGTTTGTTGAGATTGTTGCCATCGCGAGGCGCAGGTGGATGGTATCAAAATTTATCACAAAATAAAAAGAAGATACACTTGTACCTCTAGAGACATGATGTCTTTTTTGGTGGAATAGTTTAAAACATTTTGAACGCATTGCTTAGATTCAGAACACACTGGAACCCCCGCCTTGGTGTAATTCCTCATTCTGCAATTTCAATGCTAGATTGACACTTCGCTAAGCCACAATAGTATTTGTGGTGATTGCGCAATTTAGCATGTTGGAGGCGTGCTAGTGATGATCCTTACAAGATTCCATTCGGCAGACCCTAGTGCTCAGCTTGAGCACGTTGTGGAAACCTCTTGTGAGTTATCCACCGTCCTGC